ATTTATTTATTTATTTATTTATTTATTTATTTATTTATTTATTTATTTTGATGCTGCTAAAGACGATGGCCCTGGATTCTGGGTGCTTGTACTTAGTGGGAAGAATTTGCTCACTCTGATTTGCCTTTACTTGGGGACTAGTGGTGTGTAAGAAGGTAAAACTTTTGAAAGAAATTTATTTATTTTTGTTACTATTTTTAAGATTCTCATAAAAATAAATTTATAATTTTAAATCCATAAAACACTCTATTTGAGCATAGGGTACTGTGTATGTCCACACTCATTTTTAGTCGTGTTTCTGGGTGTTCATCTGAGGCTGTTGCATATTGAAATGAGAGAGTAACTCATATCTTTGTAAAGGTTCGAGAATCTCTCATACTGTGTGATATGCTGCAGCCTTGTGGTACAAACTTCTGATGAAAGATATCGCATACTTAAAATTGGTTACTCGGTGCTTTAGAAGTTGCAAGACATGGAGGAAGTGCAGCCTGATGCCACTGTGGAGGCGGTGGCCCCATAGCACATCTGAGCCCCAGAAGTCCCTAACAGGTTCTGACTTATTAATTCAGAAATACTCCTCTCCATCATGCCGAACACGTGAGATGTGGAAAAATTTACAGGAAAAAAATGAACTTCAGAGTGTACACATGCACGGGCAAGGAGATTTCACAGGGAAGAAGTTTGAAGTTTGCTTTAATTTGGCCCTACAGTTTGCCATTCATTTGGGGTTGTGCGTATAAATCTATCATAAATTTTGAAGATTCATCCTGATATGTGTGTGTGTATGTGTGTATGTGTGTGTATTACCCTACAATCACCAAATTAAAATATTTTAGGAAGAAAAACAGAACCACTGAAAGCTGTACTTCTGCTCTGCTCTCCAGCAGGACCTTGTGTTACTGGGTGAACTCTTTGTAGATGGCGTTGGTGAGCAATGAGATTGTGCTATTTGGTTAAGATGGAGAAATATTTTCACTTCATAATCTAAGTTAGTTTTTCAATGAAATAAACCTAAAACATGAACCAACTGGTATTCCAGTTGTCATAGCTTTAAAAAAAAATCTATAGAACCAGAAAGCAATAAAACATATGTACATGCTGATTGAGTCACGAAAGTGCACTAGTGATCAATTTGAACTCATTTTGATTGCTCTCAAGATTTTTCTTTCTGTTTTGGGCCAGACCCAGGTGAGGGGAGGGGCAATGGTGACTTAAAGCTAAAGCACATATTTCCGCATGCACAGCTGTCAGTATAATGCTCAGACAGTAGCAGTCTCCTGCTGTGAGGGGCACAGCGTCACAGTGCAGACAGTCCCCTAAGATGAGCTGTGTCACAGTGTAGACCCTTTAGATGAATTAGAGACTTGTTTCATCTACTAAAATTGTTATAAATGGGTGACTCCTGAATTCAAGAAAATTAGTTTCAAGGTCACACAGACAGTAGACCCTGAGATTGTGTCTGGAAAGTGAAGTTCCTGAAGCTCTCATGACCTGAAGCTCCTGGTCCAGGGGTCTCAACCTCCCTAATGCTGTGTCTCTTTAATACGGTTCCTCATGATGGTGACCCCCAACTGTAAAATCATTTTCATTGCTGCTTCATAACTGTACCTTTGCTATTGTTATGAATGATAATGTAAATTTTTTGGAGACAGAGGTTTGCCTGTTGTGACTCACAGGTAGAGTGCTGGCCTGGACAGGGCTTATAGAAGGCTCGAATTGCTAGAACTAACCTACTTGCAGCCATCCATCACAAGGCAGCGACAACTTTGTTTTGGAGGGCATGTACACATACGAATGGGATACTCAAAAGTGTCAAGCAAGTATTTTTTTTTCTAAAATCATAATTGAAAATATTTTTGATATTCATAGAACTTGCTAAGTTTACAAAAGTCACAATATACCAACAACACTACTTAAAACATCAACTAGCCACCATCTAAGCAGGGATCTATGCTTAGAGAGCGTTTGGTCTTCTGCCCAGTGATGTGAGAGAATAGCATTCTGAAAGCTTTTCCAAAGTGCAGAGAACTTACCTTTGGCTTACGTTCCTCCCAGTGGTTTGGTGAATGGAAAGACAAGACCTGGCTTGCCCTGCTCTGTGGTGAGGGTTTGGCCTTATGTATCCAAACCCACATCCTGATTTCAGTTCTGACCTACCTTTTCGTTAGATTTGTACCGTATTGAAAGAGTGTTTCTAATGGACTTAGCTGTGTTCCCAAACACCCAAATCCAGACAGCCAAATGTTAGACCACTTGCCTTAGATAAAATGTGTTAAATTATTCTGGATTTTTACTATAGTTGCTTTAGGTTGGTGACCTTTAGGACCCCACCAGACTAAATTCATTATTTAAAAAAATGCATTTATGTGGTAACTCAGTTACCTATTATCTATCTATCTATCTATCTATCTATCTATCTATCTATCTATATCTATTGTTGCTTAGGATCCAAATTGACTTTTAATAATGAGATGTATGGTCATATGTATAGAATAGACATACCAGTAGAGTGCTGGCCTGGACAGGGCTTATAGAAGGCTGACATTGCTAGAACTAACCTACTTGCAGCCATCCATCACAAGGCAGCAACAACTTTGCTTTGGAGGACATGTACACATACGAATGAGATATTCAAAAGTGTCAAACAAGTAATTTTTTTCACCAAAGTAATTTCACCAAAGTAAAAGCTTACTTTTATGTCAACAACATATTGCAGTATTTTATGTTTTATGCTGTTTCATTGTATTCTGTTTCATTCAAAATATTTGCTGAACTCATATAACCTAACATCCTACTAACAAGTTGTGGCTCAGTTAGAAAATGTTGGCTTTGGACATAAATGTGGGTATACCAGACTAAAGTATGAGACATAGTCCTTTAATGCAGTGTCTTGCAAACAATTTGGCAACATTGCTGTGAGTAGTGTATATCTGGCACAGTGTATATCTGTGGAGAAACCTCCTCCACCACCTCCTACTCCTGTCGTCTTCTTCTTCTTCTTCTTCTTCTTCTTCTTCTTCTTCTT